CGGCCACGTTTTCCCACAACGTTTGGCGTCGTGTTTCATAATGGCTCGCATGAAGCATTTCGGCGATTGGTATTGGTTTCCTCTCTGTATTGTTATTAAGGCCGTTATTAGCGTGTTGATTATGCTCGTGATTGTTGCGGTGCATTAGCAGGAACACTTGCTTTGATCGCCCCCCCACGCGCTCTCTTTAACCCCCTCCCCCCTCTCCACCCCACCCCCATGTTCGTACTTAGACACCTGGCTGTACACACGAGCCCTTTACTTTAGAAATCTCTTCATTTGTTTTCACTCGCACACCTGTCAGGAGCATCTGTCTCCGGTTACTGATGGTACTTTTTCTCTCACAACAGGTGCGTATGACGACTACTGGTGTCTGCTGGCGGTGGCACTCAAACGACCAATGTGGGCATTACTTTATTTTATTTTGTTATTTTTAGCATTTTACTGATATACAACATATCGCAATACACTCATCCCCTCTGTCTTAAATTCTGCATATGGGTATAATGCACAACCTTTCAACAGTACTATCGCCTTAAGATACCGCTACCTATAAACCTTTAAAAGTAGGATATGCGTTAAGGCAATGTCCCAGAGAAAATACTTGTAACTTGGAAAGATGCTTATCCAATTGGCTGGTGGTTACTTGCGTTGTACTGTTGAGTTGATATCCTTAGCTTTTAGCTTTCTTTATGTAAGTATGTATGTATACATACACATGCACATGTGTGTGTGTGTGTGTGTGTGTGTGTGTGTGTGTGTGTGTGTGTGTGTGTGTGTGTGTGTGTGTGTGTGTGCGTGCGTGTGTGTGTGTGTGTGTGTCTACGAAAGATCATCATATCTCAACCTGAAATATAAATCCAACATAAGACCACGCTTTCGTTAATCTGTCTATAACTTTTCCAGTTACGGATTATTGATGGTATTGATGATGATGATAAAATAACAACAATAATAATGAAAATGATAATAATAAAAGTAATAGTAATGATAATGATGTTAATAACGATGATAATAAAGATGATAATAACAATAACAACAAACGAAGGAGGAGCCTATTCGCCATTCGCGTTATCCGTGTTCGCATAACTCTACGGCGGACAACCCGAGATTCAACAACGATTTGCGGACAGGGTCGACCGGTTCGTCCTAATCTTGATATATGAGATATTTATTGAACCGGCAACTGGTATGGGGGTACCAGCAGGTGGATACTTGGTTAGAGGGTGGGTGGGTGGGTTGATTGAAGGATGGAGGGATGGATGAGTGGGTGGATATATGTATGTATGTATGTATGTATGTATGTATGTATGGGTGGATGGAGGGATGGGTGGGTGGGTGGATAGACGGATGGGTGGATGGATGGATGGATATAAGGATATAAGGATATAAGGATGTAAGGATGTAAGGATGAAAGGATAGACGAGGAATTCTACCCTCCCCCTGCCTCCTTCCCCTCTTCCTTCCCTTCTCTCCTTCTCTCCCTCGAAAGGGTGAAGGGAAAATGGATAGATGGGGAGGAGGGGAGGGGAGGAGAGGTCGCAGGTTCCTTTCACTCGCCCCTATTTCCCCTTTTCTCCCTCCCTCCCCCCCCCCCTTCTTCCTTCCTCCTCTCCGTACCTCAACACCCAAGTTTGCATCGGGCAGCTAACACCACTTATCCTAATTAACGTTATGGGAGAATTAGCCCTAAAGTCATACTGAGAGAAGGTCAGAGGTGAATGGGCGAAGGGGAAGGGAGGGGGGAAGGGAGGGGGGAAGGGAGGGGGGAAGGGAGGGGGGAAGGGGGAGGGAAAGCGGTAGGGGGAGGAGGAGGAGGACGAGGGGCAAGGGAGGAAGGGAGAGTGAGAGTGTTTTCCGCATCCGCCCTCTTCGCCACATTAAAGGCCAGTTGTATTTTCAGACCACAGCCTCTTACGACCCACCCCCACCTCCCCCCTACCCTTGAACCCTTACCCTTACCCTATCCCCTGCCTCCTGACCCCACACCCTATAAACCTGTAACCTACTCCTTCCCCCTTTACTATCTTACCTTCACCCCCCTACCCCCCCTCCCCAGCCCACCCATAACCCCCCCCCCCCCCCCACTAGCTCCTGTTGGCGTAGCGCGGCCATTTGTAAGAATTAGCGGAATGGCGGAGCTCATAACCACGTATAAATTACGGTGTCATTTTTACGTAAGGTTTCGGCTGGACGTGACGTTTCGGGGCAGCTGGGAGGGGGGGTAGGGGGAGGGGGTGGAGAGAGAGAGAGAGAGTGGAAGGGGATAAAGACGAAATATGGGAAGGGATGGAGAGGGGGAGGGAAGGGGATGAAAAGGGAGAGGGAAAGGGGTGAAGAGCGGGAAGAGAGGGGGTGAAAAGGAAGAGGGTAAGGGGGTGAAGAGAGGGAAAGGAGGCAGCGATAAGGGGGTAAGCGGAGATGAAGGAGGAAAGAGGGGAGGAGGAGGTGGGGGAGAATGCAGCGGGCAGGCGGCGCTCTCGCTTTTTGATATACTCCG